TTGCAGTGTAGGTCAGTTCCAAATCCTCAGTTTTCTCATCTCTGTCAGTACATTTTCTCTGTTTGTTGTCAGGGCTGTGGTATTTGAAATAATCTACATGGCAAACAAAGCAATATGTTCTTAGCTCTACAGCAAAACTTTTCACTAAAGTACAGGCAAGCATGTATGATTTCTTTTTTCCTTGAGGGGATAGTTCCACACTTATATTTGTTTAGAGCACATCTCTCTGCTATACTTAATTTCAGTTGGAACACTTTCATTAGAAGAATGCAAAAATGCTTCACCAAGAAATCAGGTAGGGACATTATGAGTACTTTAGTAAAACAACAGTCATAGATTTCTGCACATTCCACTTTCAAAAACAGCAAACAAAACCCATATGATTCAGGCATCTGGCAATATTTCTCTCTTTTGTAACATTCATCTAGTTTTCATAGAAAACAATAATAAAGACTGAACATCCTAGAAAGTTCTAACAAGTATAAAACTTATTTCCAAAGACATGGATTCTCTTTGGTTAGCTATTGTAATTCTGCATTTCTAAGTTTGATTCCTGATATAAACATTGGACATAACTTTAAACGAAATATCTAAATGGCAATTTTATAAATTCTCCGAGTTACTCTTTAGTTCCTCCATTATCCCTATTTCTAATTCTATGACCGTCACTAGTCTACTTGTGTGTGGTTTTGTCCCTCTTCCCAGTGCCTATCATCATTCATCATTACCAAGTCACCAAAATTCGTAGTCTGTGTACAGTTCAGATTTTTTTCCCAACAATAATGAAGTGATTTAGGCTCACAGGCTTCCAGCTGAAAACTCCACCCTGAAATTTCAGATATAATTGTTCAGCTCTACAGCTGTGCGTGCGACTTAGCTGCCAGGCATCATACGACCTGTTCTCACTTGCAGCCCACATTCTCTTGTATTCTACAGGTTCTGAAACAACATGGCCAAGACTTTCTCGTGGGCAACAAATTCAGCTGGGCAGATGTTCAGCTAATCGAAGCCATTTTAACAGCGGAGGAGAACATACCTGCTGTGCTGTCGGGGTTTCCTCAGTTGCAGGTAATTTTGTTATTGAGCATGCCTGTATTCAGGAACTAGAGGGCAATCCCGAAGTGGTCACCTCTGTGTGCTATGTAAATCAGGAGTGTGGGCTCTTCGAGGAACTGTCACTGTCTGTATGTTTATTTAACATCAAGCAGAAGAGGGAATGGATTCAGTTGGTTTGTGTGCTCCTGACTAACCCTGTGCAGGTATACCTGTCCCTCTTTGAGTGGTACATACCTCCTCTATAGAAATCAATTGATGTCATCCCAAGGGAATCACTGATCTAAGCTGCCCTGTTTTCATTTTTTTGCTTCCTACCAGTAGATGCTATCTAACACCAGATAAGCAATTAAGTCTGTGGTACAGGTTGACACGTTAGAATGAGGCACAGCGTGCCATTTTCTCTACTGGCTGGTATTACAATTTTGGGATCCCAGTAACCTCACTCCACTTCTACCTTCAGTATGACTAGAAACTCAGGCCTTAGCATTAAGCCACAGCTTTGTTTCAATAATCAACTCGATACAATTGAGGATGACTTCTCTGCCTTTCTTAGTAAGAATAGGGTTTTTTTGCAGCAGCTGGGTCCTTCTGTTGGACAGAAGGAGACTGTAGATGGAGATCTGAGTGAATGATAGGATTTCTTCTATCAGCAGGGGGAAGCAGTTGTTCTGTGCAAGGAGCACTGTTTGCTGCTGGAGTAGCTGGAATTTCTCTTACTCTGTTTTTGGTTTTTAGGCTTTTAAAATAAGAATCAGCAATATGCCTACAATTAAGAAGTTCCTGCAGCCTGGCAGCCCAAGGAAACCTCCACCAGATGAATGTTATGTAGAAACCGTGTTGAAGATTTTTAAGATATGAATGTCTTCCTACCTTTAGTGAGACCCAAAATACTGAAAAAAAACCCCACCAAAAACCAAACCCCCAAAACCCCAAACAAACCACTGAAAACCCAAACCCCAAACTCTTAAAGGAAGTAGGAAATTAGTATTGTTGTAGTTAAAACCCATGGTAAAAAAACAAACAAACAC